TCGTCCTCGCTGTCGTCGTCGTCGTCGTCGTCGTCGTCGTCGTTGCTGTCGTCGTCGTCGCTGTCCTCGTCGTCCTCGCCGTCGTCGGTCGAGCAAGCTCGAGGAGCGAGGGGGCCCCCCCCCGAGGGGTCCGCCACGCGCGGCCGAGGACCCCAGCCGCCGCGGGGCCCGCAGGGCCGATGTCCAGGGATGCGCTGGGCCCGCGCAGGGCGGGCGGAGGCGGGAGTTCTCCAGAGAGTACAGCACCACCAGCCTGGGAAGTCTTCGCGAGAAGGGAGGAGGAGGAGGAGGAGGAGGAGGAGGAGGAGGAGGAGGAGGAGGAGGAAGGAAGGACGGACGGAAGGAAGGACGGACCGAAAATGAGGGCGCCGCTCCTCGGACCTGGGTCGGGAAACCACCAGCCTGTAAGGGCTGGTAGAATTTGGTTAGGGCATGGAGAGCTCCGAACCGTGCCATCGCTCGGACGTCCATTACCCGTGCATCGTTTGATTTCGCGCGGGTTTGGTTGTGTTTTCGCAAAACGATCCAGGATGCTCCTCGATGGTCCCCGCCGAGAACAATGCACACGTCCAAACGATGCCCAAAGCAGTGCAACACCTCCAGCCCTAGCCAGGCCCATCCTGGACCTGGAGTGGTGTACAGGCACTCCTGGCCCAGGCCTGGAGATCTATACACCAATCCAGGGCCCAGGATGGACATGGCCATGGCTGGTGTTGGTGTATTGTTGGCGTCCCTCCGCGGAGGCATCCCCAAACATCTAGCGTCTCGAAAAATCGAGCCGAAGATGATCCTCGTTGCCGGCTTCTCGTCTCGGGGCCCTGCCCAGACCTCGTGACCTCGAAGACGACTCAGGATGAGAAGCCAGTGCCCAGGAGGTGGCCGAGAGGTCGGGGGCCCGCGCCTCGAAAAAATCGGGACGCCGGATGTCCGGGGTCCCTCTTGCGGCCGGCCGCGCCCCGGCCGCCCCTGCCGATGTGCATCGCGTTGTGGGTGCCTCCCCCCCCTCCGCCCTCCGCGGCCGCCTTCCGCCGTCCTCTCCCTCCGGTGCCGCCGGGCAGTTTCTAGCACCTGCCCCAGACTACTTGAGCGCGCGCGGCTAGCCTCTGCCGCGCTGCGACGGAAAAAGCCTGGGTCCCTCGGGTCGAATGGAAGGGGGAGATCACGCCGCGAAGAAATTTACACAGACACCCTCCGGCGAACTTTGCATGTGCCGTCAGGAGGGGTGGCGATGCAGGAAGTCGCTGGCTCTCAGCGGTGATGTACAAATTATTCACCGCCACCCTCCCCCGAGGCCCAGGCGCATGCGAGCGGAGGCATCCCTTCGGGTCGGACGGAAAGGGGGGGAACGCGGTGAGGGTCCTTCCGCGAGCTCTCCTCTTCTCCCTCCCGCTCCCTCCCTCTCGCCCTCCCTCTCTCCCTCCTTCCTCCTCCGTTCTCCTCCCCCCGATCTGGAACGGGGGATGGTGCGGCATCTGCTGCACGAAGCTAGGTTCGGCCGCGCCGCCGTGCGTGCCTTTTTGTGGACGGCGGGCCCAAGGGGGAAGAGAGAGGGGGGGCGGGCCTCCTCAGAAGGCTCGGACAGCCTCGGGCCTTCTGAGACATTTCCTGCGCCTTTTTCCGAACACAGCGACGCGCGGCCAACGTAGCGGCGACGCAAGGGGTCAAGAGCCAGGCGACAGTGGTCCCGCAACCTGGGGGTGCTAGGGACCAAGGGCGCAAAGAGCTTCTGAGAAGCTCCCCCGCCTTTCGGCGGTGATCAGAACCTCCCTTTGGCAAACCACCCTTTAGCGGAAACGGCCTGGGACCGAAACCGACGGACCTGGACCCGCAAACATGACGGCCGCGACGCCCTCTCTGACTACCTACCAGACCACCCCAACCCAACCCGAAGACCCGAATTTCGGGTTGGGGGGGTAAGGGTTCCACGCGTGTTTTTTCGAGGTTTCCCGACCCCCCCCCAACTAGGAATCGAGGGTAAATCTGAGCCTTCGGGTTGGGTTGGGGTGGTTTGGTGGGTGGTGACACCCCTCGTCTCGTTGTGGCCTCTGTTGGACCTCCTGTGAGGCCCTCGCCGCCGCGGCTGGACTTGCCTCGAGATTGTGGTCGCAGCGTGCCACGGGAGAGGCATGTGGAGCAGCCGCATCGGGATCTTGAGGCTGCCCCAATCCATCCCGGGGTCACGAGCGGCGAAAGTATCCGTACCCACGCCCTCGCGGTCTGCATTCCGGGGCGAGATCCCGCGGACACGCGCTGGCATGGAGACGTTCCGTGCGGAGCATCCGCGACCAGGGGACCCAGCGAGGCACTGCGGATACTCACAGGCTTTTCTCGGGGATGGACAGACCCCCCTTTAGTAAAACGTGGTTTAGTGAAAACGACCTGAGGCCCAAACCTGGCGGGCGCAAGCCTGGAAAATAACGGCCACGGCGCCCTCTCGAAAACCGAAAACGGACAATTCACTAATCGACGTGTCACTGTTGGGGGTTCTGTCCGCCCCCGATTTTCGCCCACAGCCATGCGAGCGGAGGCATCTCATGGGCAAGCTGCAGAGGAGCGCCGGCGTATTGGCACGCGTACGGACCACACCCTCCGGGGGCGCCGGCTCGGGGAGAGCCCCGCATACCGGCCACCGAGATTCGCAGGACGACGAACAGGACTGGACTGGACTGGAGCTATCGCGAGGCGATGGGAACGTCACCCTGCCAGACCACCGCGACCGCTCGGCGTGGGCAGGGCGCTAACTCTTGGGCCACTTCCCCTACGGGATGCGCTCAATAGATTCGGCTATACTGGGTGTGGGTGAAGCCTGAAGACGAGCACGGAGGGAGGAAGGAACGACGAGGCGACAGGGGCGAAAACACCTGGGGCTGCCAGGGTGGTGCGCTGGGCTCTCGTGCCCGTGCGAGCGGAGTAGCAGCAGCTGAGAGGCTGAGGATGCGCAATGGGGGTCGGGCGTTGCGCCATAGGGGGGTCGAGAGAGGGGGGGGGAGAACAGAGGTACACCCTTCGTAATCCATCGGGGCCGGGAGAAGTCGAATCGGTGGAAACCGGCAGGCCAGTAAGGGCTCCATTGAATGACCGAGATCCGAATGAGCGACGATCAAAAACGGGTCTTACGCGAGATGGCACAACGACCTCCCGCGGTGGTTTACGCGGGCCGCCAGCGCAACACGCTACCTTGGAGACCAAGGCGCTTACGTGCGACCTTCCGCGGGAAGCTTACGCGCCAATGTCGGCGCAGACGACCCCGTCGTCTTTCGTCGCTCAAAATGGCAATCCGAGGTCGGACCGAGTCGGAATCCGTCGGGATCGACCCGGATCGAGTCGGAGGAGTCGACGCGAGCCCTTATGGTGGGGGGGGAGGGCCCTTTCCTGCAGCCCTCGATCGGGCCCCCCCCCCTGGCCCAGAGGCCCCCGCGGCCCTCGGAACACCAGCCGCGAGGCCCAGAGGGCCCCAGTGCACGCGTGGAGCGGGGGGCCACCTGGGCGACGACCGGAAGCGGGTCTTACTCAGTGGGCCCAGGGGCAGACAAAAGAAACAGAAACATCCCAGGATTCCCCCTACTTCTCCAGTTTCGTCTTTCCCCCCCCCTCCCACATGTTCCCATACTTTCCTAGGCATCGGCGACTGCTTGTGTGTGTGTGTGTTTGTTGTTTTCCCTCCTGACTAGCGCGCGATAACATAGCGATCTTACGCCGCGGCTTGCGCGGGCGGCCAGCGCCAGCTTGGACGATGCCGCTTGCGCGCAACCTTACGCGGGCAGCATACGCGAGCATACGCGGGAGCTTTCGCAAGGGCAGCATTCGACCCCGGGCTCTTTCGTCGTTCATCTCGGTTTCAAACGGGTTGGCGGCTCGCTTCTGAGGAAGACGCTGCTCTTCTTAGAAGCCCCCTATCCCTACCCCTACCCCGCTCTGCGCGTGGCCGAGAAGGCAAGGGGGGGGGGGGCGTCCTGCGTTACTGGACGGCTGGGGTATCGGGCTCCTGGCGGCGATCGATGGACGATTGGGCGACGTTCCCCCCCCCCCCGAGGGTGCTTGCCCCCCCTCTGACATTGCCCCTGGGAGCCCCCCCCCCCCCCCGACGAGTCCCCGCCGAGCCTCGGAGGCCAAAGAGGTATGCTGGTACCGCTGCTCCCGGGGTGCGCTCGGACCGGACTTTCGGCGACGACGACGAGCGACGAACCACAACAACGGACCGATGTCCAGGCCTGCCTGAGACTGGGTGGGGGAGGCCATGGCCTCTTGGATCTGGTGCGTATGGGAAACACAGACGTGCGTTGAAACTGCAAGGACCATACTGTCGATGAGACTCCGACCGTACGACGACCCTCCAGGACGAGCACCGGAATCGGCAGCATTTCCTCCCCTGTGCCCCCTCGTCACGATTCCCCGCGGCCCCGCCGCGACGGGCTCATGAGGGGCAACGATACGGGGGTGCATTGGTTCAGGCGGGAGCGGTGGGAACATCCACCATTCCTGGGCAGGATGGGGTGCCGTCAAAAGCGATGGGATGTACTACCCCTTGAAATCCCACTTACCACTAAAGAGTTCCTGGGGCGTCAACATTGGCTCAGCATGGGCCGAATAAGCAGGGATGCAAGGGTAGCCTTGATGAAGCAACGCGGCCTTGCTATCGGTGTTGACTGTATCAGGCCCCTACCTGAAGGAGCACGAACATATCAACATGAACAGTCGGCGGTGCGCGCGACCTTCCTGGATCGACCCTGGATTCGACGGTTGGATCGACAAGCGCTCCGCGCGGCGGGGAGGGTACCCCAGCACCGATCCAAGATATCAATGCGGAACCACGAAAGTGTACGTATATCAATTCTGTCATGTGCTGTCCCTCCACCATCGGCGATCAGTGGGCGATTGGGCGATGCATCCCCCCTCCTGAGCCGACCTTCCCCTTGCACTTGCACCTGACCCCCCCGGCGTGCCCGCCCCTGCCCTCCTGCCGCCGCCGAGCCGCCCCCCCCAAGAGGAGCCGCCCCGTCCTTTTGCGCACTATTTGCGCACGTCTGCTGCCCGGGGCGCGCGCACGGCGCTTCCCACTGGGCCAGGCCTCTGGGCCGCGCAGGTCTCTCGAGCGCGCAGGAGACTGCGGGCCGCAGCCCCTGACCCAGACCGGAAGGGGAAAGGAGCATCTGCTGGCCGCGCCCGGCCACGTCCGCGCTGCCAGACCACGGCGTAGCGCTTTCGAGGAGAATCCGGCCGAGGTGACGAGAGCGCTCCAGGACGAGCAGCGGAATTGGTAGCAGTTCATAATTTGAGAAGCCCCCCCACATACAAGGCCCCGCGGCCCCGCCACGACGGGCTCAGGAGGGGCAGCGATGCACGGGGGGCGCTGGTTCAGGGGGTGGGACACGGTGTATCAGGCACCTTATATCGAAGCCTCCAAGATGAAATCCGAACGGATAGAGTCGGAAGATCGCGCCGCCTCTTACATGCATTGCCGTTCCATCGTCGACAACGACCCTGGAGGATAGAAAACTGCACGACGACATAAACATAACAACTCGCAGGCCCGCGCAGTGTTCTTGGAGCGCGCAGCGCGCCAGTGGCGGTTCTGGAGGCGCCGCCAAGGGGGGTCCTGCGCCGATCCAAGATATCCACGCGGACCTCAAAGGAGAAGTACGGTGGATGTAAGGTCCACGCCCGAAGGGCCGTGCTACACACAACGACGCACACGAACCCTTGTGCACTCACCAAATCTCCTTGCCACCTCCAAGGAGGCAGAAGACAAGGATTATGATGATGGCGATGGTGTTGCCGCTGATGATGGTATTATTCTTATTATTCTCCACCCGTTGAAACTCCCCGTTCGCACTGTCTGCAAGCATATCTCACGCACAGCACCGAACTGGAACCACGGTCGCGAAACACAGACAAGCTGCGGCCCACTCGATCTTCGCAAGGAACCTCCTGCCTACTCCTAATGACAAATGTCACTAAGCCCTGGCCTCCACCCTGGCGTGGGAACCGCGTACAAAAACACGGGCGTTCACCGCCCAGAGTCCAGCCGGGCACATTCAGACGTCTAAATGTCGCCCACTCTCGCCCACCAGCGGTCGAAACAACACTAAAACCCACGGAGTTCACGAGATCGCGAAACATTACTCGAGTGGCACGCACTAGAACGGGGGCGACGGAACGCATCGATTCGCCGATAGACCTCTCAGATGGTCAGCTAGTCCGCCTCTGGGGTAAGGTCCGCCGCTATCGATCAGTCCACCACATATGGAAACACAGTGATCCCTCTTTCTCTCGATTGTTTTGTTTATCTCTCTCTCTCTCTTTCTCTCTCTTTCTCTCTCTCTTTCTCTCTTTCTCCGAATCCTGCGACTGTGGCATCTTCCGGCACTGCCCGATCTTCACCCGACCCACGACGACCGTCTTGATATTGGGATTGCGAGGATACGCCTCTTTCTTGACCTCCACCTCTGTCACGGGGCCGATCTCAATGATAGTCTCCTTCGGCGCGACCCCCAACTCGGCAATCACCAGCACATCGATGTCGCATCTGTCTGGTGTCGACCAAAACTTTCTGAAGATACGCCTTCTTCTGATAGCGCGCGCGGCGGCAGGACAAACCCACCACGCACAGAGCGACAACGCGCGTGCGCGCGCAGTTCGGCGAGCGTTGAAAAAGCCGAGGGACGCAGAAGAACGGGCGCGTGAGAGACTCTGGAGCTCGAAATTTGGCCACGCCCGAAATCGACGAGCCTCCCCTCGTCGGACAAATCGGTGGGAGCCTGAGCCAACGAGCCTCAGGATGCCGACGGATAGCACCCCCACTCGCGAAGCAACGCTCGCACCGCGCACGCAGATTACATACTGCGGCTCGTCTCCATCGACAACGGGGATTATGATGATGGGTTATGATGATGGGTTTGATGTGGTTCAGATGTGATTATGATGATGGGTTTGACATGAGCATGTGCGCCAGTTACCCGCCTCCTCGATCATGTCACGCGCGTGCGCGCCGGGGCCGTTGACCATCTGGCCCTGGGGACCAGGGACGGAATCGGGTTGATGTTGCCACGGGATATCACGAGGAGGACGAAAGAGACGAACATCTGATTCAAACGCTCCAAACCATCCACGTCCATGGAGGACTTCCCGAACCCGAGAATTCATACGTCCTGGGGCCGAGAGATCCTCACCCCACAGCTTGAACCGCGGACTGGCCTCATGGGTAGGCTCGCCACCAAGGGGTATCTGTTTGCGGCCAATGTGAGCGACCAGAAGAGCAACGTTATCTCGGGGTCTTTGGGCTATCTTTGGGATCCACGCCAGTCGCCGATCGCGCAGCGCGTTCTAGGCAGTCATTGCAAGGACGGATCGCACCTGCTCGTTTGGTATAGCACAGCATCTGACATGGGCACTCTGGTCGTCGTATTCCTTGATACCCACGCCACCCATCAGCAGCACTCGACCGCGCGTCTGCGCGAATCGATCAGTCTGATCGCACAACTGTCGGGGATGGACAGAACCCCCTCTAGTAAAACGTGGTTTAATGAAAACGACCTCGCGCCCACACCTGGCGGGCGAACGCCTGGAAATGACGGCCGCGGCGCCCTCTGGAAAACCGAAAACGGACAATTAACTAACCGACGTGTCAGGGCGGGGGTTCTGTCCAGGGCCGAAGCTGTCGGGTAGAGAACCGCGCCTCTCCCCCTGAAGAATGCGAATTGTGCGCCGAGCCGAGGGGCACGGGGCGTTTGATTTTGCATCGGAATGCAATTCTGCCCCCAGGAATGCTCCGTCGCAGCCCATCCATCCCTCGCCGCCTTCTGCCCCCCCCCCCCGCGCTCGCGATGCCTCCACCCGCCCTTCTGGCGATAAGCTCCGTGATGTTTCGCCGTGGGCCTCGCCTCTCCAGGAAGCTGCAACTGCCGACGAGATAACTGCTTCTAAGTCGGGCCCCCCTTCCCAGACTGCCGAAATCGAAACAGCAACTCCTTATCGAGATTCTGTCGGAAGTTCAACGGGCTGGCGACCATCCGCTCCTAGGCGTCGCCCCAGAAAAACAACAGGCCCCGATGATTCTAAGTCGCCGGCATAGGCGCCATAGGAAACGTCAGCGGCAGCGCGGGAAACAGGGCCCGCGACAACAACGGATGCCCGTTCCTGCTCCGCGCGAGTTTGCCCCGACCGCTCGCCCACAGCAGGATTGCACACTTGCAGGAAGCGATCGGGTGCTGACTGGCCCCCTTGCAAGTCCCCGCACCCTAGTGCGGGCCAGCCCCACTCCCCCGCGTCAGTCTGCGCCAGCGCCGTCGCGCGCCGATGCCTGCCCGCCGCGTGCGCAGCATCCCCCGCGCTCAAAGTTCGGTAGGTAACGGGGTCCAACGCAGCGCGCGAGGCCGAAGCAAACGCCCGGCACGATCGCGAAAGGCGGCGAACCAGCCCAAGGTTTGTTTAGTTAATTGCCAGCGCACAAGCTTATGTTGCAGAATGAGTTGTTCCCTGCGCCGCCTCCCACGCAAGCCCGTGCCGCGGCGCGTCTCGCATCCTCCTCGACGGCGCCAGATGGCTCCGATGAAGGGTTCCCCCACTGGGTCAAGTGGATGAATTGCACGCTCGCCATTGAATGTGATTTTCCGCTGCGTCTCCCGACGCGGTGCCCCTGGCCCGCGTCTGAGAGGTTCGGGGTCGATCCGCCGCGAACGTAAACATCGAAACAAAAGATCAAGGGCGGACCGTCTTCAACGGGGGCCGGGACGGCCAGAGCTAAAGACCGCAACTCGCGAGGCGCAGACCACGCGGACACGGCTTCCCGAACCTTGGCCGACGCGGGGGATCGCAGAACTCCGCGTCGCTCGCAGCACGAGCCTCAGGCGCGAGTTGGGGGCGGAGGACGAGTCCAAGAGAGGAAGAATGGGAAGTCGGGTGACAGGGGGGGCCCCGGCCACTACGGATAGCGGCACACTGGCAATTCCCCTGCGCCAGATCATGCCAAAAGGAAACGCGACCACTCCTCGACAGGTTGCGAGTCAGACGCGACCCCCGAACGCAAAACCGCCGCCCCCATGCCCCCGACGGGGCCAGGAAGACCCACGCGGCGACCCCAATCTCGAATGCCTGGCGGCGCAACGGCGAACGCGTTACATTGGCGTCGCTTCGGACCATGGCGGGCCCCAGCGATCAAGCAAGACAAATGCTAAACAAGACGGTCGTCGCAAGCCTGCGCGGCTAGGTTGAGCCCCCGAACCCGCCCCTCCGGTCGCCGCCTCACGACCCTCCGCCTTGCGCGCCCGATGCGCAGGCCCAGTGATTCGCAGACTTCCCGTGGGGCCGGGCGCGCCTCACCCCCTGGACTCTCAGCCAACAAGAAGCGAATCTCCTGACATTTTCCACGCGCCTTCCCCGCATCCCCAGGCTCCGCCGCAGTCGAATGAGGCGCGCGTGGGGGATGGGGGGGGGCTCGGAAGATATTCGCACCACCTTCTCGTCGTGCTGTGTTAAGGAAGTGCCGGCCACCGTCCGCATCGTTCTGCTCGAAGGCCCTCTGGACAAGGTGGGAGTTGCCCGTCTCCGCCGCCCAGTCGCCCAGCCTTTGGGCGAAGGCGGGGTGCAGGTCGCCCTCGCTCCTTCGCGCCATCCGCATGCGGTTGTAGTTCCAGTGCATGCGTTCTGTGCCCACCCACTGCCGACTGGGGGGCGTCAGGTCCACAGCCAGGGGGACGTGGTCTACGTTCGCGGGGGCCCGGTCCGCCAGCTGAAGTTTGTAGCCCGTCCGTCGCCACACCTGGCACTTAGAAACCATCTGCATTGCGTCATGCGGGATCGCAATGCAGTCGCCGCGTGCCATGCTCGAGCCCTTGAAAAAGGTTGGACCGCACCCCGTCTCGACATGGGAAATGGCCTATGTCATCCCGCGTCGATTGAGCAAGTGACGGTACCGACTGCCATTAAAGCCTCCCCTCTCAACCCCGTGCTGCCCAAAACGTCTGGATCTCGGTACTTGTGCCATTCCGCACTGATCTTCTCCATCCCCTCGTGGAAATTACCGTCCATCAACACAGGGCGCGCGCCTCGTCGGAAAATCTCGAAGAACATAATCGATCCAACCAAACAAGTTTGAGCAACATGTTCCTTTCACTCTCATCCTTTGGTCTGAACAAAGCATACTCTGCGAGAAATAATACGTCGAAATGGCATCGCCATCGAACACACAATGCTCCTCCTCGTCCCTGCAGTGCCTCTTGTGGGCGCCATGACCGGACGAAGTGAGCCCGGCCGAAATACTTCTGACTGACCGCCAGAATGCACCCAGTGGAAATGTTGGTCCCCTGCGTAGGATCTCACCGTCGTCTGCGGCGAGCTGGCCCTTTGGAAGCAGAAGTGAGCCATTTATACACATCAGATCTTTTCTGTGAGACCCGTACTTCCCCCAGCGCGCCATCGAACGAGCCTTTTCCTGCGTCAGCCCCGTCCCTGTCAGGCTAATGACGTGGGCGGTCCCGAGGGTCTCAAGAATGACAGCCAATCCCCGCTTGAGCGGGAGCGCTTGCGGATTATACGGGATGAACCGCACGCGGTACTGTGGAGATACAGTGGGCATGAGGAAACTGAACGCCAGCAAGGCCCACAACATGCTGTGGGGGCGCGTTACTGCATGTTGCCTCGCACTCCAGTAAAAAAAAATCGATCGAAACCCTCCCCCTGATCAAAAAAAGGTTTGGGCCAGAAGGGGTTATGATGATGATGCTGCTGATGCTCATGATGATGGTGATGATGGTGATGATGATGATGGTGGTGGTGGTGATGCGGCTGCTGAGGAGGAGGGGGAGGGGGAGGAGGAAGAGCAGGAGGGGGAGGAGGAGGAGGAGGAGGAGGAGGAGGAGGAGGAACAAAAAAAAAAACGACGAAGAGGAGGAGCCTCTGGCCGCGCAAGTGGAATGCCGACGCCGAAGCCCCGTGCCCAACGCTGCAAAGGCAAAGAGAACGATCCCCTAGGCTCTGGCTAAACCGTGTCCTTCTTTTTCGGTGTGTTTTCGTTGTCCCGCGTTTCCTTATCCGTTCCGCACCCCGTTGTCCTTCGTCGTCCCGCGTTCCCACAAAAAAAAAAAAAAAAACGATAGTCGTAAAAAACCCGTTTGATGGGGGGGGGGGCAGCAGGAGGAGCAGGAGGACGAGGAGTAGGAGGACGACGAGGAGGAAGAGGAGAAGGAGGAGGAGGAAAAGGAAGGAGGAGGAGGACGAGGCGAGGCGGACGCGGGAGGAGGAGGAGGGGGGGGAGGGGGGGGAGGAGGGAGGAGGGAGAGGAGGAGGGGAGGAGGAGGAGGAGGAGGAGGAGGAGGGAGAGGAGGAGGAGGAGGAGGAGGAGGGGAGGAGGAGGAGGAGGAGGAGGAGGGGGAGGATGACGAGGAGGAGGAGAAGGAGGAGGAGGAGGAGGAGGACGACGAGGAGGAGGCGGAGGAGGAGGAAGAAGACAAGGGAGGAGGAGCTCGAGCCCTGACGACCCCCCAGGAAGTTCTCGCGGCGTGGCGCCGCCGCGGCTCGTGGCGCGGCCCGCCCCCCCCGGACCCTGCGGGGCGCCGCGCGCGGCGGGCTCAGGCGGGCTGGCCGCCGTCCTGCCGCGAAGGGGGGGGCGTCGGCAGCCAGCGTCGAGGGCTCCCGAGTCGCGCTGGCTGGTGGGCGGCTCGCGCTGCGGCGCCCAACATCGGCGAAGAGCGATGGGAGGAAGTGAGCATGAGAAGGCCTGCTCAGAAGGCGGCGGGGCTTCCCAGAAACCCCGCCGTCCTCTTAGAGCTTGTTCTTCGGGGGGAAGGCTTCGCTTGCCGCTTCTCCCCTCTAGAGGGCCACGTGCAAATTTTACCCCAACCCCCACGACTGCTGAGGGGGAGGGTGGGTTTACTTCTCTCGAACGATGTGAACCCCACCCTCCCCCTTAGAAATCGTGGGGGGCAGGGGTAAAATTCGCGCGTGGCCCCCTACCCCTCGCTCGCCGACGACAGCCACAGGGCAAGCTATACTATTGCTGTGTCGCAGACCCGGCGAGCGCGCGGGCCGGTCGAGCAGCCCAGGGGGCACTGGACAGCGACTTGCGCACTGCAAGAGGCACAGCAGGGAGAGGCAGGGATGAGCTGGGCTGGCTGCGAACCAGAGGCGACGACAGGGGTGAATACAGTCGGGGCGTTGACCTAAGGAACCATCAATAAGGAACGAAACCCCTTTCTTCCACAAATGAAACCTCGATTCCCGATCGAAAACCTAAGAAAACCCTAAGGCAAACTGCGAAATAATTAAGGAACACGGAGCCCCTCCCAAACGAAAAGGGCTCCTTCTTCAGCGCCCCGACTGTAACCCAGGGGGAGCGATACTTGTCTGCAGGGGCGCCGATGGTCTATGTCTTCGGCAAGGCTCCGGCAGGGCTGACGCATAGAGCAGAGGCCTCCACGAGTCTCAGCTTGTGAGGGGTTCTCATGGTCATGGGGTTCTCATGGTCATGAGTCCAAGTCGATGTGCTCCCTCTGGGGGCCGTCCCTCGCTGCGGGCAGTGGGAATGGTGCAACCCCGTGCATCCGCTTGCGGATGCATGGGGTCGCGCCCCTCGCCTGGCCACGGCCTGATACGGCCCCGTTCGGCTTAGCGACCGCGTCAGGGTCAACGAATCCCCCCTGGGGGTACGGCTAACCAACGCCCTCCCCAGGAGGGCGCCCCCCAACGGGTAATGCTCGGGGAGGGGACTTGTGCAGTATGATCGGGTGCTGGCCGATAGTGCCACATTGTGATCGTTTCTTCTCCTGGTCTTATTGTGTGCGGGGGCAGGACTGCTCAATTCTCCCCGGATCCCATGCCAAAGAGGCCGGTTGGAACTCCGGCTCTTTCCCTCTCGGTCCCATCCAGGGGGCAGACCCGGGGTGCCCATGGTCCAGGCGACCCGGCTTCTAATGTCTTGTGCCCAGTATGGACCCTATGTAGTCAGATGTGGCAGTGCGGAGAATCATGTGCGAGCGTCGACGAGCGCACTCGAAAACCTACGACGGATTACCCAACATACGATTTGAGATTCAATATGTGCCTGCGTGTCTCAATAGATTAGTCTGGCCCCTCTGCATTGATGACACGCAAAAGAACGAGTTGTGGCACCACGGTGCAGCGAGCTGCGGTTGTCCCGCAGCTTCCCCTGGTTCCAGCGTTGCAGACAGTCCGTCGTGAGCGCTCGCTTTGCCGCGCTTCTGGGCCGATGGCCCCAGCGCCGGTGGCCTGGCCTTCTTTAAGGACCATCGGGCGGGAACAAACTCATTGCGCCCGGTGCCGGACTCCTCTGGTTGCCTGCTCCCCCCAAGCCCCTTCGCGGCGGGGGCGGTTCCTGGAACGGAGAGGGGGATGGAGCGGCGGGCTGGCCTGGTCGCGGGAGGCGGTTGAAATGGAATAGCAAATGCCCTCAACTGCGGCTTTGGGGTGGTCTGTCCGTGTGGGCTGTTCTGGGATATCGCTAGGGTCGTGGCTCTCCGCTTCTTCCCCTTCTCTCAAGAGCCTTTTCTCGTTGTTCCTTGTTTGAGGTGTAATGCACCGTCTCAAGAGGTTTTCCCCGCCGTATAGTTCGTCTCCGACGACTTCCACCACTTCCGGCCCGCCGGTCGATCCCGTCCGTGCAGGCAAGAGGACGAGGACGAGGACGATGCTCCTGGAGGAAAACGTGCAATGCCCGCCTCTGGGCTATTCGCCCTTATCTTCTCCTCCGAGCGAAGGGGGGCGAGGGGGAACCCAGCGCGGCCCGTCGCCGTGCGCGCCAGAACAAAAGGGTCGGAGCGGGGGATGGGGGCGCACGCGGGTGCTGGAGGGGGGGGGAGGGGGGGCAGTGGGGCGCCATCGGGCCAACATGAGGGAGCGCCAGAGCAAGCGCGAAATGGCTCTTCCAACCACGGCGAACCTCGGCCGCGGACAGGGATGACGACCCGAGTCGAAGGCGCGGCCTGAAAACCAAAGCCCCTCCAGAGCCCAAAGGGTCCTTATTTCGGCGTCTTAGACTGCAACCACTCATGCCGCCCTTCGACTCACGCTAGATAAGCCTCGATTTGCTCAACATGTCCCTGGAAATCTTCGGATATAGTTGGTGTTACCAAGATTGTCCCGAGTTACTTGGACTTACCTAGATTCATCTGCGGTTGCGTGGGTTTGTCTGGTTTAGTTCCCACACGTCGATTGGCGAAAAGTCGTCAAGAGGTTGATCCCCACAGGGACCGAGGCCCAAAACTCCGACGATCGTTTATTGTTTGTTGGAAGGGAAGGGTGCCAGTGGACACCGCAGCACGATGGTACCCTCGGCGACCCAGGCGAAAAGCCACGCAGCTACCTGGCACGTCGTGCCCTCGAAAAGCATTGCAGCGTCAGGCCACGGGAGATAAGGAGGTTAAGGGGACAACCGACGTCTTGCTCGATCGATCTCACTGTCGATCTCACAATCGATCTCGCTCCCGCCCGCCCACGCAGCTTCGCATCGCCAGCGCGCGCGGCAGGAACACCAAACCAGAACCGATATCCCTGTGGAGGGTCTCCGCTACACTACGATACCACCCCTCAACCTCCGACCTCCGACGTGGCTTTTCAATCCAAGCGCTTTTGCCTTAAATGTCGGCGTGCATGGGGCCTGTGTTCGGCCCCCCCAAGACCATGCAACGCTGCTCTGGGGCGAAGGCCGCGCATTGAAACGTCATGTGTTTGCATTGCCGGTTTTGGATGAATGTTTTCTGTTGGTGAACAATTGCCCAATAAGTGCTTGCACTGGAGAGGTCCTAGCGGATATTGAAAGATGTGGGGAACATGCAGGGCCGATTTCGGTGGGCGGATGGGTTCCCGGGTTTCTGGTCCTTCTGCGGATCTCACTACTGAAATTCCATAATTGATCTCAGTATCGATCTCACTATCGATATCATGTTATATCACACGAACGATCTCACGATCGCCTTCACAACCGATCTCACTGAATCGACTTCACTATCGGACTCACGACCGAACCCACGATCGTCCTCAATATCGGTCCCACTACCGACCCTACTATCGAGCTCAATATCAAAAGCAATAAGCAATACTTTTCTAACCATCCACTGAGCTGGGCGTTTCTCTGGCTCAATCAATTATTTGGAGCCTGTTTCTGTATTACTCGCCATAACGCCCGTGGCAGTCCCCCGTCCCCCCCCCCCCTCACTCACTGGTCACGTCACGATTCGCGCTGGCGCCGTCTGGTGAACATTCCCAGACGGCGCCGGCACGAATCCTGACGCGACTGCCCCCCCCCCCCTTCCTATCCCAGTCGCGCCCGATATCGCCAGGGGATCCAGAATCGGACTCGAAGAGGATCCGACATTTATGTTTGTTTCAACGCGCGGCCCCAAAATTGCCCCGACCCCTTCCCCAGGGCAAACGTTTCGCCCCGGTTCCGTTCTTGTTTGTCCCGGGGCCAAACGACCAGCCCCAGAAGCAGGCATCCAAGGAAGCGCGGGAATTCAAATAAACAAATCGTCGGAGAGGTGGAATGCAAACTCTGGCCTCCGGGAAATTCTTCGTAGACGCGCCTGGCATCGTTCCGCTGGGAGCAGGGCTCTCCGACCAGAGGGGGGCCACAGCGATCGGGGAAGGGGGGGGGGGCAGGCCGCCCCGAATCGAGGGGCCGAGAGATCCCCCGGTCGGCCCAGCCAAGCCTCACACGCTTGGTGGCCCCGTGAGGAGTTTCACCAAAGACCCCAGCGGCTGCGCTCGCATGCCGTCGCCCCCGTCGCTTTGGCACACGCCTCACACGTTTCGTGGCCCCATAGGGAGCTCCACCGAAGGACCCAGTGGCTGCGTGCGCATGCCGCCACCCCTCTCGCTTTGGTACACCCCTCACACGCTTCTTGGCCCCATAGGGAGCTCCACCGGAGGCGCCAATGGCTGCGTTCGCATGGCGTCACCCCCCTCGCGTTGGCACACCACTCACACGCTTCGTGGCCCCATAGGGAGCTCCACCGAATACCTCAATGATTGCGTTCGCATGCCGCCGCCCCCCCCCTTTGGTGGCACACCACTCACACGTTTCGTGGCCCCGTAAGGAGCTCCACCCGAGGACGCAGTGGCTGCGTTCGCATGCCGCCACCCCCCTCACTTCGGCACACCCCTCACTCGCTTCCTTGCCCCATAAGGGGATCCACCGAAGGCGCTAGTGGCTGCGTTCGCATGCCGCTCCCCCCTCCCGCATTTTGGCACACCCCTCACACGCTTCGTGGCCCCATGGGGAGCTCCACCGAAGGCATTGGCTGCGTTCGCATGCTGCCACCCCCCGTCATTTTGACACAACCCTCACACGTCTCGTGGCCCCACAGGGCGCTTTTCCGAAGACCCCAATGGCTGCGTTCGCATGCCGCCGCCCCCCTCACTTTGGCACACCCCTCACACGTTTCGTGGCCCCATGAGGAGATGCACCGAAGGCGCCAGTGGCTGCGTTCGCATGCCGCCATCCCCTTCACTTCGGCACACCCTTCACACGCGTTGCGGCCCCCTGGAGATCTCCACCGAAAGCCCCAGTGGCTGCATTCGCATGCCGCGCCCGCGTGTCTTCTCCCACGCGTCCTTGCGCCTGTCAACCGCAATGGGCTACATCAGCATGTCACCCGTTTCGTCTGACCTCCGCGCCCCCTGCGAGCGGCCCCAGCGGCAGCGCCCGCATGGCAGCCCAGCCTCATTTAGGTGCTCCCTTCACGCGTCTCGTGGCCCCGTAGTGAGCTCCACCGAAGGCGTTTTTCACAACGACGATACTCACAAGTGCACGTGTGTGGGCCATTCGCCAAATAGCGTTACAAACGGACCGCAGCAAAGTCCCACAAGAGGGGGACGGGGAACCCTAAATCGCTCGGTCTGACAACCGTGCTTGCCTGAAACAAGAACCGCGCTCTCGCCTCAATGCCAGGTGCATGTTTGGCCCCGACGACCACGATCGCCATCCTTATCGATCTCTCGATCGATCCCATTTCAAACCATCCACTGGTTGGGGTCCTTCTCTCGTGTGCTGTCTCTTTGTCTGCTTTCCAACAGCAGCAAAGCGCTCAAGAAGCTCGGGGGGCGTGGCGGCTCCTCGGCGCGCTTCCGCCTGGCCTTGATGCTCAGCATGAGCGTCTGCCAAGCGGGGGGCGCGGGAGGGCTGGCACGAAGGACAAGTGGGTCCCAGAGGCTCGGCACGATGTGGAGGCGGTTCCTCCTCCTCCTCCTCCTCATCACCATCATCACCATCACCACCATCGTCATCATCATCACAATCGTTCGCGTCACCATCATCATCACCACCAACACCACCAACAGCATCATCATCACCACCGTCATCACCAACATCATCATCATCATCCTCATCATCATCATCACCATCATCATCTGCATCATCACCAAAACCATCACCATCACCATCAACATCGTCGTCGTCGTCGTCGTCGTCATCATCATCATCATCATCATCGTCATCATCATCATCATCATTAAGATCATCATCATCATCACCATCATCATTAAGATCATCATCATCATCACCATCATCATCATCATCATCAGCATCAGCATCAGCATCAGCATCATCATCATCATCATCAGCATCATCATCATCATCATCATTAACATCGTCATCGCCAAAGTCATCGTCATCGTCATCATCATCAGGAGCATCATCATCAGCAGCATCAGCATCAGCATCATAATCAGCATCAGCACCATCATTCCCCAATCAGCGTCTACACTGAAGGGGTCCTAGCGGACATACAAGATATTGGCGAAAGAGCAGGCCGACTTCGGTGGGCGGCTCTCGGTGGGCGGCGTTCGGTGGGCGCCCCCCCTCTCTCTCTTCTTCTCTCTCTGGGCATCTCTCTGTATCAGTGCTGTAGGTGGGCGCTCCCTCTCCCTTTCTCTCTCTCTCTCTTTCTCATGTGTCCCTCTCTCTCTCTCTCTGTCTGACTCCCTTCGTATCTGTATCTATATATTTGAGGCGGGGGTGTTCTGGGAGTCCCCTCGGCCGCACAGGCCGCATTAAAGTGACACTTCAGATGACCAACAAACGTCTGACCTTTTAGCGTCGATGGATCTCTATGTAATGCGGCTCTACGTACACGTCCACGCATACATGCATGATCGCAAGCATGCGCGCACGCATGCTACTCCCGGGGACGGAAGGGCCTCTTCGCCCCCTCCTCGTCACCCGTTTCCTGATCCATCTCTCCATCCTGCTCTTCCCGCTGCTGCTCCGCATCCGATTCACCATCCTGCTCTTCCTCCTCATCCTTTCCTCTTCCTCTTCCTCATCCGCTTCTTCGGCCCGTTCCCCCTCCTCGCCCTCCAACCATCCTCCCCTTTGCTCTCCCTCCTCTTCCGTTTTCCCCGCATCACCAGTTGTACTCCCTTCCTCCTCTTCCTCAACCTCCTCCTCCTCCTTCTCCCCCTCCTTTTCCCCATGCGCTTCCTCGTCCTTCCGCCCCCCCCCCCGCCCCTCCTCGGCGTCGTCTTCGTCCTCCTCATCCTTGTGATATGTCTCTCTTTCTTTCTTTCTTTCTTTCTCTCTCTCTGTCTCTCTGTCTCTCTCTCTCTCTCTCTCTCTTTCTCTCTCTCTCTCTCTCTCTCTCTCCCAAACCCCATTCATTGATTTTCCTTGTTGCCTCGCCATGCCTTTTCAGCGACCTGTTTCAAGACGGCCCACGAAATCCCCGACTCCCACACCTGTGGACAATAACTACAGTTGTGTATACCGATGTGGTTTGTTTTGTGGGCTTGACTTAGGATGTTGCTTCGTGGTTTTGATCATGGTTTCACCAATTACCGTTTGATGAACACCATATGACATGTTGGATGTGGCGGTTGCGGTGGCAAAAGCGGAAACCCCACCATCAGCGCCACACCCGTTACCCAGTGTCGATGGAAAGGTATTGGCGGTGGTGGTGATGATGAATGTGCTAGTGGCGATCACAACAATAGAAAACTTATCCACAATATACGGACGGGGATCGCACTCACAACCGTCGCAACGAACTGTGCCGCCCCCCAATGACTTCGAAAGGGCGCGGGGGAACCGGTGGAATAGTATCTAAGTTGGTGGCAGAAGCAGCCGTGGAAGTACTAACGGGGATTGGCGGGTGCTGCGGTACTGGTAATTGGGGATCGCTTCCAGCGCTACCGCGGCTATCGCCTGCCACAGGCAGTGTTGGTCGCTGGACTGGGAGGGGGGAGGGGGGCAGCACTGGTGGTGGCGGAGGAGGGGGTGGCGGCACAAACAACACAAATGGACGCATTCGCAAACGTTGGTGGCGTAATGGTGGCGATTGGGGAGGAGGCGCCTCGACCATCACCACAGCCACCACTGCCATCCTCCATGTGCACGAAGTTCGGTGGTGTGATGTAGGTGATGGCGGTGGCGGCGGTGATGGAACCAGCCGCACACGCACTAGTATTAACTTAGTGGTGTAGGTGGTGGTGGTGGTGGCACTGGGAGCACCGCCGCCACCATAACCATTACCCTCACCACCGCCGCCACCCCCTTACCCAGAACGGGCGGTGGTGGTGGCAGCGGAGTAGATGGCGAGGTGGATGCGGTGATGGAGGCGCTGTTGACGGCGAGTAGCTACACAGTCAGTAATGGCACTCGTGGACTTGAGTGTTGGCGTTGGTAGGATGGCGTCGCATTCACCGCTGCGGCCGCCATACTTGACCAAGAAAGGGTAGTGGCAGTGGCGAGTGGGCAGGATGGTGGCGTTGGTTGATGTAGTTGCGGTGGTCGCAGCAACCGTAGAAGCTATCGCACCTGCACAACTTTACCATCATCCCCCTGTCTCTCTCTCTCTCTCTCTCTCTCTGCTGGCCATCCACTTCCCTCGATGGGGGTGCTGGTGGTAGTGGGAGGGGGCGCATCCACCACCAGAACCACCACCACCAACACCCCCTCTACTCAGAAGGGGTATTGGTGCTGGTGGGGTCGGATGTGCGGCCGCGTAAACAGATGTGCTGGCGGTGGTTGCATCCGCCCCAAAAGTGGCGACAGATGTTGGTGTTTGTGGTGTTGGAAGGATTTCAAAACCGTCGCCACCTCCATTCCTGACCCAGCATGGGTAACGGCGGTGGCGGTGGAATGCCGCTGGTGGTGGTGTAATGGTTCTAGCGACACTTGTGGTGTAGCAAACGTTGTAGGAGTAAGTGGTGGTGTTCGGCCGTCGTACAGGTATTAGTATTCGTTCGTAGAATGTGAAGGTGTCGGTGGTGGTGGAGTTGAAGGGCGCCTCCACCAACGCCGCCAGCAACACCACCGCCAGCATCATCCTGGCCCAGAACGGGTGGTGGCGGTGGCAGTGTAGTCTTGGTTGTGGAGTAGAGCCGGTGGTGGTGGAGGCGTGGTGGCAGCATCAGTAGAAGCACTCGTAGAAGTGAGTGGTGGTGGTGGTAGGAAAGGCCGAATCCACTAACACATCCACCAGCACCAGCCCCTTCGCCACAGAAGGGCAGCGGCGGGGGCAGAGGAAGAGTCTTGTCGTGGGGGATCGGGCACACATTCCTTCAGTAGGAGAGCGCAAATGATTTGGACACGAAAAAACTTGTTCGTGGTAAGATACAATGGACATGTTTTTTGTAAGGAGGGTTTCAATAGAAATCCTTTTGTAAAGGGTTTCGATACAATCCCTTGTTGTAAAGGACTTAAATCGAAATTCCTTGTGTAGAAGATTTCAACGATAGTCCTTCTGTCAAAGAATTCCAATATGATTCAATGATAGTCCTTCTGTCAAAGAATTCCAATATGATGAAGCTCATATTTGCGTGCTCCGGCCCGCCCAAAAATTTGCAAAAAAACACTGCGTTTCCTCTTTTTCATAATCTCGAGAAGCTCTCGTGAGCAGCGGTAAGCGTTAGCAATGTCCCCTTTTTAAAAAATCCCCAATTGTTTCTTTTTCCGGCTCCGTATCAACGAATTTGCCTTATTACCGATTTCAAATGGATTCCTTCTGTCGCGGGTTACAAATGGATTCCGTTGGAAGTGGATTACAAAGGGATTCCTTGTGTGGTGGATTACAAATGGATTCTTTTCGTCGCGGATTACAACTTTTTATGGAGGATTACGAATTGATTCTTTTTGAGGCGGATTATACATTGATGCCTTCTGTGGCGGATTGCAAAGGGAATCCTTTTTCGGCGAATTACAGAAAGGGAATCCTTTTGTGGCGGATTACAAAGTGATTCCATTTGTGGCGGATTACAAAGGACATCCTTTTGTGAAAGATTACAAAAAGAATCCTTGTGTGGCGGGTTACAAATTGATTCCTTCTGTGGCGGAAAAAATTGATTCCTTTTGTGGCGGATTATTGATTGATTCCTTTTGTGGCGGATTACAGAAAGGAAATCTTTTTGTGGCGAATGACAAAGGGAATCCTTCTGTGGCGGATTACAAGTCGATTCCTTGTGGCAGATTACAAAAAGAATATTTGTGCGGCGGGTTACGCATTGATTCCTTTTGTGAGGATCTTTAGCGGCCTGAAAATGCGAGAAGTTCCAAAAGTTTTGTGAATTTGTTCATTTTTTAATTCCTTAGACTGTTGAACTGGTAAAACCAGGTTTCGCATGCGACTCCCTCAGATTTTTATAAATCCGTTTGGCTTGGCTGATGTGAAAATCAAAAGGAATCTGAGGCGAAACTATGCTTTTCTTTGTGAAATCAATGTAAAACAATGAAAATGCAGGTTTCGCTTGAAGACCACCTCCGAATTTTACAACAACCAAGCTCCATGCATTTGTACAATTTTGAGAGGGTCTCAAGCGAAACCTGGTTTTCCTATTCAAAATGTTTAAAAACATTTGAACAATGAGAAACCTTGGGGACCTCACGCAGGTCGAGACCGCTCAAGATCCCCACAAAAGGAATCACATTGTAATCCGCCAAAAAAGGATTCATTTTGAAATCCGCCACGAAAGGAATCAACTTGTAATCCGCCACAAAAGGATTCCCTTTGTAATTCGCCACAAGAGGATATCCTTTGTAATCCGCCACGAAAGGAATCAACTTGTAATCCGCCACAAAAGGACTCCCTTAGTAATTCGCCACTAGAGGATATCCTTTCTAATCCGCCACGAAAGAAATCAATTTGTAATCCGCCACAAAAGGATTCCCTTTGTAATTCTCCACAAAAGGATTCCCTTTGTAATCCGCCACAAAAGAAATCAATGTGTAATCCTCTACGAAAGGATTTCATTTGTAATCCGCAACAAAAGGAATCAATTTGTAAACCCGCCACAAAGGGAATCAATTTGCAATCCGCCACAATAGGAATCAATTTTTAATCCGCCACACAAGAATCAATTTGTAAACCACCATAAAAGGAATCGATCTGTTGTCTGCCATAAAGGAAAATCAATTTGTAATCCTCTATGAATGGACGAAGAAAGAAGGAGGAGGAGTATGAACACCAAGTAGATCCCATCAAAATGGACCAAGAGGGTGGTCCACGGGAGTCCCATGCCAACTTGTTCCCCCCGAGGGGACTCCCAGAATCCCTCACTCTTTCGCGTTTCCCCGATACGCAATACATGATCGAATCGTTATGTTCCCCAATCAGGGCTTGCCTCTGTAGGGGTCCTAGCGGATTCATATGGTTAGGTGAGGTGGGCCGCCGAATTCGGTGGCCGGCCCGGGTGCCAGGGTGCCTGGGTGCCTGGTAGCCCTATAGCGTTATATGTAGCCTTATAGCCTATAGCCATATAGCCCTGAAGCCCGACTAGTTCCATAACCCAATATGTAGCCCTAATAGCTAGAGCCCCATAGCCCTGAAAGATTTATGAATGTATTTGTCTCCCGTATCGTTTGATGTTTTTCTCCGTGATATACAATCTCTCTCTCATTCCCCTCTCTCTCTCTCTCCCTCTCTCTCTCTCTCTTGATGCTCTCTAGATGTCTCACTCTTCGATAAGCATTACATTATCTGATCGTTTTGTCTGATCACGCTTTTCTCTACGCAATCTCTCTCTCTATTCCCCTCTCTCTCTCTCTCTCCCTCCCTCTCCCTTGGTATTCCTTTATACCTGTCTCACTTTTCGGGTACCTCCGGGAGCCCGCTGGGGTCATCTGGAGCCCGTCGTGCGCTGTCCTAGGGCAATATTGAAGACCTCCTAAGCCACGTTGAGCCGACGGATGTCCGAAACGGCGAGGATGCCCTTCCAACGCGCAAGGGCAATCAATGAGCTAGCCTCTGAGGGCCCTATTGCGAAACTGCGGCCAGGCATGGTGCTTGCAAAACTTTCGGACTGTCCACTGATCGGGGCTTTTTTCTCCTCCGGTGTAATCAACGTCATTACCATTAATCGGGGATGGACAGACCTCCCTTTAGCAAAACGTGGTTTAGTGAAAACGACCTCGGGCCCAAACCTGGCGGGCGCAAGCCTGGAAAATAACGGCCAAGGCGCACTCTCGAGAACCGAAAACGGACGATTCACTAATCGACGTGTCACTGTTGGGGGTTCTGTCCACCCCCGAATTAACATCATCATCAACAACATCATCCTCATCCTCAAACCTCATCCTCAACATCCTCATCAAACATCCTCATCCTCATCCTTAACATCCTCATCAACAACATCATCCTCATCCTCATCACGGCTCTCCCGCCCTCAAACAGTCGCAGCTTGAGAAGGCTGGGCTGGCACGGGGGCGGGACTCGCCGCAGGGCAGCTGGAGAAGCGGGTCTCGGAGGCTCCGCGCGCCAGGGAGGGGGGCTCCAATTAGGGGGAAAACTAACCTCCCTCGCTTTTGACCACCCTCGCTTCCAAGAGATACCAAAACGATGCCAAACTGCAGCCTGCACTGGTCAGGCCGCTTGACGAGGAGGCGCGTGGTATGGCTTGGTTTTGCCTGGAAGCGAAAGCGGGGGAGGTAACTCACGCTCCGACCAATGCAGATCCAAGACACACGCGCAGGCCTTCGACAGATGATGGTTGCGCACGTATTTGCTCTTCTCGGGGAGCGGAAAAAAATTACATGACACGCCGCCGCGGGGAAACCGTCAGCGAGCCACTGCACAATAAGCGAAGGGCCTTCGGATGGGCAACCAACGGCAGCGCGACATTGACACTCTGGCTCCCTCCCGATCTCCGGGTCTTGGAACCACGTCCGTCGGGTGAGAGGAAGCGTCAGGGGGGGCCAGCTCCGGGGCCCCGGGGGGTGGTCGGCGATACGTTGCCGACAGATCGGCAACAGGCCCCGATGGCGACTCCGCACGATCCTGGGCGGGGTGGGCTCATTGTCGGGCCCACATCTTCGATGTATACTCCAGATTTCGTATTAACAGGGAGGGGGTCACAACCCTTCCAGACGAGCAGTTTTAGACAAGCCATGAGAGGGCGGCCCCTTGCTCAGACCGCACTGGAAGCCTCCAAGACAGCTCAAATGAGACCCCCTCCCAAATCAGACCCCCCCCCTTTGTTGTGAAATCCGGAGTAAGCTTGGTCCTCAAGCGGCATGTATACATGCTGAAGGTTTTCAGGGCTGGTGGCCGACGGGCGCCCCCCGCGCGCGCCGGGGGAGGGGGGCCCGAGCTGGCGCGTGATCGACGAAGACCACCAGGTCTTACGCTAGCGCCGCAACTTGCGCGGGCCGCCAGCGCGGCATGCCACAATGGAGACGAGGGCGCTTGCGCGCGACCTTACGGGGGCAGCGTACTCCAAGGCTCTCGTGCCAATGAGCAGGCATTGCTCACTCGAAGCTTCAGAGGCCGCCCCGAGCCCGCCCGAGAGATCACGGCGGGGCGGCGAGAAGGAGGGGGCGCTTACGCGCGGTTGGGGGTCGATGCCCCCCCCGCTGAGCCTATCCCCTGGTGGTCTCTGGGGCCATGCCCTCGGGCCTCTGGCGGCCCCTCGGGACGACCCGAGCATCCTCGTCCTCACCCTCAGCTTCATTCGCATCTTCCTCCTCTGCCCCTGTTGGGCGCCCGAGTTATCCGGGGTAACTCGGGTCCGGGGTAACTCGGGTTTGGATTCCCGAGAAAGGAACCCGAGTTAGCCCTGACCCGAATTACCCCTGATGATTCGGGGCTCTGGACGCCCGAGTTATCCGGGATAACTCGGGTCCGGGGTAACTCGGGTTTGGATTCCCGAAAAACGAACCTGAGTTATCCCTGACCCGAGTTACCCCTGATGATTCGGGGCTCTGGACGCCCGAGTTATCCGCTCGGGTCCGGGGTAACTCGGGTTTGGATTCCCGAAAAACGAACCCGAGTTATCCCTGACCCGAGTTACCCCTGATGATTCGGGGCTCTGACCCTGGCTTCATAAATGCACGCGGGGGGGGAGCGCCACCTGCGCTGACCCCTGGTTTCGTAGTGGACGCGGGCGGGGCGCGAGCCCCGCTGGCAGCCCCAGATCGACCCCGCGGATGGGCGGGCACTGGCCGACCCCCCGTTGGCCTGGACCCCCGTGGCGTGCACCAAACGTTCGGCACCCAACTCGGGCATGGGCTGCCCCCTCGTTGGCCTTGGCCGATCCCGTCCACCGTGCTTTCGGCACCTAGCTCGGGCCTCCCCAGCACGCCCTCGACCAGGCTCGGGGGCCTCCAAACTGTGTGGTGGCCACACCACGTCGGTGGCGATTCGGGATCACCGCGGGGTTTGGAAACTCGGGTCGTTCTTCAAGAACGTGTCTGGGGACTGGGGCCCGCGAGATCCCCAGACCGTGCGGCGACGGACTGCGCAGTGAGGTCTCTTGGGATCAGCTCGGGCCCCCCTCCCCCAGCGCGCGCGGAGGGCGCCCGTCGGCCACCAGCCCTGACAACCTTCAGCATGCATACATGCAGCTATCCTTGTCTTGGACCAAGCTGGCTCCAGATGTCAAAACAAAAGGGGGGGGGTCTGATTTGGGAGGGGGTCTCATTGGAGCTGTCTTGGGGGGGTGACAACCTTCCCATGTTTATGAACTTTGGAATACCCTGTTTGGGACCGAGCGTACCGGATGGCAAAGAGAGGCCATCAGGACCACTATATCTCAACACTAAGCAAGCATCATTCTGTTTCACGCTGCCGCCAGCCTGCACGCGTACGTCGCCCCTCCAGTCTATCCAAGGTTATGTAGTTCTAGTTGGATACCCCCTACTCGCACAAGTTGGATACCCCCTACTCGAACACCAACTGCTCGCTGAATTACTCTGCACCCTATGCGGCACCACACCTGCTTCCAACTCCCATCGCTATGTTGTCCTCCGCACAAGTTTGCAGTTTACTGTGTTGGCCACTGTGCCTCAGGCAATTTTGAGACTGCGCCAACCTTCCTCTGGTAATCGCTCGGACGTCCATTTCCCGTTCATTTGTAGGTTTCGTATGTTTTTTCCTGCCTGACGATCCAGGATGCTCCTCGGTGGTCCTCGGAGGAAACAATGCACACGTCCGAGCGATGTCAAGTCACCATGTCATCCTAACGCTGCAGTGGCCGATTGAAGCCCGCTCAACGTAAAAAGAATGAGGGGGCGGACGAAAAGGAGGGTCGGGCACATGCTCGTACGGACTATGAGTACGTGGATCTGGTAAGCGGTCGTCGGATCCATGGATTGGAAAAGGTACAATCCAAAGTTTGACTGCACCTTCTCCGATCCATGATACACGTTTTGACTCAAAACGTGTATCTAGGACAGGTGGTAGGGACACAACACCCTTGGGGGCTTAAATTCGGATTTTTTGGGCGGCGGGCGACCAATAAAAGCGGCAATGAACGGGGCGCAGACGCAAAGGCTCACGTGTACCCCAAGTGAACGCGCGTGTCCTCACTAGGCGCGTTGGCCGCAGCCCCGAGAAATCGCGCCACTGCCACCCGATTTGGTGGCGGAGCGCTACGATTCTGTTTGGAAAAAGGGCCGGCCCGTCGCTAATCCACGCGCCTCGGTTCCCCTCTGCAATTCCTCCAGCCTCTCAAGGGCGAATGGGGAAGGGGGGAAAGGGCCCCTCTCCAGCCTCTCCGCTTCCCCAACTGGCCCCATTCCCACACCCCGGCCAGCAGAGGAGTGCCGGCCTTACGCTGGCTCGTGGACAGCTCCATGCGCGCCCACCGCCTGGGGAAGGCCTCGGCGGCGCGCGCGCGCAACGGGGGGCTCGCGCGCGCAAGGACCCACTCGGCCGCTCACCCTCTATATCTCCCTCCGGCGTCCCTTCCTCGCCTTGATTCCCCCCCCCTCCCCGCGAAGAGTTCGCTCTCTGGGACAAAGACTTGTTCTTGGGGCGTACATAAGGAATCTCATTAAAACCTAAACACCCTGCCGAAGTAGTTGCTTCTATGGGTGAGATCTCAGCAGGGATCCAGAGCCATACTCCCAAGCCTCAGTGCGAAACCTTCGGAGATCAACCTTACTTTCGCGCAAATGTGCTCCAAGCTGCCTGGGTAAATGACACGAATGGCTATTTGCTTGATGTGTGATCAAGCGCCTCGTACGCGGCCGTTATGAGCTAGCGTAACAACAAGTATGCGACGAGCGTGTCATCGTAATAAAGCGCCGTCGTACCAATCGTACTGGTAGTAGGAGTAGCAGG